AACTTTTTAACTAGTTTCTGGATTTCTCAGAGGCAGTTGGTCCATGTATTGCTGTTAAGTCAGTATCTCCATGGGAGAAAGAGTCCTTAGGGGTTCCTATTCCACCACATTACTCAGTCGCTTGTCCTTGTTCGGTTCTTCTTAGACTCCATTTGTATCATCACATCAGGCAGCTGCAGTGTTAAACCATTTCCAGTAATTATTTTTAAGAAGTGTTCTCAGAAAGCCAGGAGCAGAGAGGGAGCTCTGAATAAGGCAAAGTAAAGAGAAGTCTGAGAAGGAAGCCTTCCAGGGAGCTGCAGTACAGATAGAACAGTAACCGTGCTCTAGGGATGGGGCTGTTAGGGAATTCCAAACCCATTCTGTCCCCTCCAGTGGCCACTGTGCTGCTGTTTTTCACAGCTATCATAATTGTGAGGTTGTAAGTTTTCAAGGGAATTTCAGGGCTGGTGAGCGGTGGGAATAGGCAAGTTAAAATGCCGCATAGCCCACTGATCTTACCAAGCAGGGTTTCCTTGAATAAATTTTCTTAGTTATTTGCAAGTTTCTGGAATTCTGGAAAAGTTGATGTTTACAATTTTTGCCAGTGTTCTCACTGCTTTTATGGGAGGAATGGATTTTCAGAAGCCTTTATTCCAGCAGTCTAGAAAGCGCTTCTCCATCAAATATAATTGTAATGATGTATCACCTAATGATTTAACTAGTTATCCTTTCAATTTTATTGAAGCAAAGAATTGGTAATGACCTGACCTGCAAAAATATTTGTCACACCATCATTAAGATAATTCAGTTTCTAGGGCCGGCTGAGTGGCTCAGTTGGTTAAGAGCTCGCTCAAGAGTTTGAGCTCTGAGCAACAGCGGTTCAAGTCAGCCCGAGCTGAGCAGCCGCTGAGCTGCCAACAGGTGGCAGGATGGCTCAGCTAAAAAAAAAAAAAAAAAAAAAAAAAAGATAATTCAGTTTCTCAGTTACACAGAATTATACCAAAAAGCTTTATCAAATCCTAGATACAGAATGTTAATTTTATCCATTCTTTCACTTGTAAGTACTTCATTTAACCCAATCTAATAATCAATGAAATTTGAGAAAATAAAAATATTAGCAAAAAGATAGTTGCCTCACTTCTTATCTTTATACACAAAGAAGAAATCTTTTCTGTAAGATAGACTCTTCATCATTATTTGGATGGTTTCAAATTCTTCAAAGAAAAAATAGCCATATGCATTTGGATTTCACACTTCAACCTTCAGTTCTGATCATCAAAGGATTCACCTCCAATACTCCCATCTTCCATTCTTTTAAACCAGTCAGGGTCAGTGACATAATTTGCAAGATGTAGTGCAAAATGAAAACATGGAGCTCCTTGTTCAAAATACAAAGGAAAATTGCAGTTAACGTACTAAAATATAAAGGTTTTCTTTTAAAAATATTTTATTACTTATAAAACATGAAAGGGTAACAGCAATACATGAGTAACAATATTTATATTACAACTTGCAACATTACAAATTGCAAAAAATATTTTGGTGTCATAATTTTGTATAATACAATCAATGATACATTATTATATCAATATATAAGTATCTTGATTGGTCATAAGATTTTTTTAGGGTTCACTTTTCTGCAAATTCATTAGGCCATCAAAACCTATTTTAGCAGCTTCATTTTAGATTGATATAATTGAAAGTAATATCATTTATTTTTCATAAATGCAATATCACAAATAATTTTTGATAATTTTTAATTTTGAGAAGGATCTTTATGTTGCAGCTGTTACTGGTGCCACAGAATATTTTATAGGCTGTAACAACATTAGGATAAATTTCTGATAAATTATTTTAAATTATAATTTTTAGTACATCTAGAACTCATGATGCTTGTAGAACAATTTTTCTAAAAATATTTAACTTTTCTTACAAATCAGTTTTATATGGCCACTGTTCAGGTTCTGGTTTGCAATTTTACAGAACCAGCAGCTCAGGGTTGTCAGGACACTCAGGCTAATCCAGGATGGAAGAAAGCTGATTCACACCCAGGGAATAACAGGACACTGATGCTTAAACCAGAATGCTGAGTTTTTAATTTAGGAAGAATGTAACTGCCAAGCAGAGTAGAAACTAATGTTGGTTTGTTAGTGTGTTGTTTCCCTTGAAGGATAGTCTCCTTGGAAAACTCAAAATCCTTGTAATTATCAAAATCATAATTCTTGTAGATGAAGAGATTCAAGGTAATCCGTGTTAGCTGGAGGAGCTGCTGTAATTTGCAAGACATGTTTCAATACTTGGTATTCACACAAAACATATCCTTTGCCTTACTAAGAGTTTTCCTTTACAACAAGGAAAGTGGCCTTCTTTTTCCAGAGAGATATTTGGGGTAAGCATCAGCTACAGGTAAACAATAAGGTGATATGGTCCCAATCAATCCTCTGTTCTTTACTAATATTAAGTCCTAAATTCCCTCACCTATTTGCAAGGCCTGTCAGGGCTGATGTCAGTGGCAGACATCCCCTGATGCCTGAGGTTCAGCCAGGAGCAGCCTTCTCCACTTCTTCCTTGCAACACTGGAGGTTGCAGACATCCTAAATATTCTTGAGCGTACTTAGTATGAATCTTGCCCCCCCCCCACCACCACCCCAGTTCTAAATAGACAATAGACACAATGGCCAGAAGAGGATTAAAATCAGTTTTATTAATGGATTGTAGAACACAGCTGGGATCTGAGGCCCAAGTGAGGCATCTTTCTTCCTCTTTGAAGTGACGACAGCTGAGCCCACTGGGCTGGGCTCACTAGACTTACCCACCCCATCACAGACCGAGGCTGGAATGTGGAGAGCCGAGTCCTGGCTGAGCCCACCATGGGCAGGTCCTGCTGGGTCTGTTTACTGCATGGAGACTGGAAGCCCAAAAGCAGGTCCAAGAGAAAGAGAGAGAGAGAAGCAGGAGGACAAGTAAGCAGGGACTTTTAGCACATTATCTTCACCCAGTAGAGAAAGATGGCCCAAAGAGTCTCAAATTCATCGACCACAACCATCCCGAGGTCACCCCAGAAGTGGAAATTTCTCCCTACTACTTTCCTTCCAAGCTGGGAGTGTGGTTAGGAGGTCGTTCCCCTATTTGGCGGAACGAGGAATGGAGGAATAAGGAAAAGGGTTTGTACCAAGAGGCAAGACTGGGGCGGGAGCCTGCACTGCACAACAAATAAGTGGCCAAGGGCCATTCTGTGGAGCCTTCCAGCCTGCATATCCTAACCCAAACAAAGGTGCTGGCTCGAGCCGCCAGGTAGGGACGGACTATATGCCCCTGTCACCTCACGCTTCAGTGCTAACTACTGGATTCCTGTTCTTGCCTGTACTCTAGAGCCTGGAGCTGTAAGGACTGCTGAGTAAGAACTTGACAAAGTTCCCCCACCCCCTATACCCTCAGTAGGTGAAATGGATGAAGGTGGTCAAAAGGTACAAACTCATAATTATAGGATAAATAAGTTCTGGAGAGCTAATGTACAGCATGGTGCCTATAGTTAACACTGATGCATATCTGAAAGTTGCTAAGATTAGACCTTTAAAGTTCTAATCACAAGAAAAAATTTTTGTAACTATGTGAGGTGATGGGATTTTGCCAAATTTACTGTAGTAATCATTTTGGAATATATACACAAATCAAATTATTATTTGTACACCTAAAACTAATATAATATTATGTCAATTATATCTTGATAAAACTGAAAAATAAAACTTGACAGACTTAAGTGGCCACCCTAACTGGAGTGTAATTCAACTGGATATGTATGGTGTTCCTGTAGTAAAGAGAGCCTTTTGCTTCATTAAGAGTAGCATCCTCTGATGGATCTAGAGAACATTATGCTAAGTGAAATAAGTCAGTCAAAGACAAATACCATATGATCTCACTTATTTGTGGAACCTAAATCACTGAATAAATGAGAAATGTAAACAGAAATAGTCTCAGAGACACAGAGGAAAAACAGGGTTGCTAGTTGGGAGGGGGTGGGGATGAAGGAGAAGGGGAAGAGATGAGACAATACAAATTGGTAACTACAATATGGCCTCAGGGATAGAAAAGACAGTCTGGGGAATATAATCAATAATGTTGTAAATATTTTTTAGGGGGCCAGATGGACTCATGTCTTGTTGGGGAGTCCACTTCATAGACAGTTTAGAGGCCGGACCACTGCACTGTATATCTGAAGCTGATGTTGAATAATATTGTATGTCAACTATAATTATATATACATATAGTCACGGGATGTGGAGTAGAGTGTGGGAATGGAGTCAATGGAATTGTAATAGATAAGTATGATATCGGGGAGGGGGAGACAGGGCGTGGAGGGAGGGGTGTTGTCACTTTGTGAGGGGTGAAAAGGATAACTAGTGCATTGTTTTGTACACCTGAAACTAATAATAAAATAATAATAATAAAAAAAGAGTAACAACCTCTGATTTAACTGACAGATATAGAGTTGTTAGCTTTGTGGCAAAGCAGAGGGCCATGCTGTATGGAGGGGAAGATCAGAGTAGAATAATCAGGTTCTTCCAGGGCCCATGAACAGGCAGGAGAAATTTAATGGCAGGTGTTGCAGAGTTGAGGCTGATGTAGCTCTTTCTAGCACAGGAAGGCACCCTTTTCTGGCCAGAAGTGATAACATACTAATTTTCTGGCACTCTGAAACCCTTCCCCCAACCTGTCACGCAGAACACCCCTCTTCGATTTTTCTACGCTTTTCTATTTCTCTAATTATCTTAGTGCCATAATAATAGATTATAGCTGTCTCTTATGGTTAGGTCTGTTTCCAGTACACTCAATACTCCTGCTCTTGACTGGGTGATTTCTGCAAAAGATTACTCCCATCCATTCCCTGTGATCCTTTTTTTCATACTATCACCATTCAAGGGTGACCTCATTTCATGGTCCTAGATGGCACCTTTGTGTAGTTTCCAACAGGATATTTATACAACTTTGCTTTGAATAAAACTAAATGATTGCAGAAACATTTTTCCCCAGAGTACTTTATTAGGGATTCCTGCCACCATATTAACATATAAAACAATCTGAATGTTGACATAGAAATGCAGATTTCACTATACAAAGATAAGGCTCCAATCATAGGTAACATGGCCCCCCTATCTCTAGTATTTCAATGGAATCAATTCATTTTGAGCTCTTCCCAGAGTGAATTTTTAAATATTAGACAAGCCACAAAATATATTCCAAATACATAACATTTTACAATATGTTCCAAGCACAGACAGAAACACAATACTTTACCTACATTTTTTTCACGATCCAACTTGCATTAGCACTAAAGACAAGATTGTGTGTGTATATGTATTTGCCATATATGTGTGTATATATAACCACAAATGTACCCACAGTGGTTTTCATGGAAAATTGAAACCTTTGAGACTGTGGGTTTTATCCACCACGATATCTGAGAGGCAAAAGGAATAATAACATGTCACAAATTCCTGACTGGGGAAAAGTAAACACAACTGTGCATGAAGAGCATATCAGTTGTGTATACACAAATACACACATATATACAGATTCATATATAAACACATATATACCAATAATATGGAATATACATATACTCACACACTTGCTTTGAACTCTAGCTCACTATATTATATACTCTCCATCTTGGAAGCAGTCTTTTCCTCATTTGACTCAGGCAACTGGTGACTGTCTTCTACCAAACTTGAGTGGTATTTCTAAAAACACTGATGCTATCCCAATGAAATGCCATTTTGCGATCCCAATTTTACTTTTGGTGGCTATTGTTTAAATTCAGCAGACCCAATCCTGTCAACACCTTCACTTAAAAACATTTCTATTCAACAATGAAGTTTTTACCTAAGAGAAAAGAGATGTTAGCTGGAAATGTTATAAATAATATGTTTGTTATTCCTTAATATAAATATACATGGTTGGGCTATGTGTGATATTTCTCCTGTCAGTATTTTTCAAATGTTTTATGATGGGCAATATATTACTTCCATAATTTAAAAGATATTTAACATTTAGAAAGGATGAGGGCTAGGTGATTTGTCATGGTTAGAACTTCAAAGAAAAGTACATGAAGCGTAATTAGCAGGGGGACTTATTTATTGCAGACTATACTGGAGGGCCCTTAGGATGACATCGAAGTCATATGATAAAAGTGGGGGAAAGAACTTCAGTTTTAAAGCTGGCCATTTGCCAACTTCCCAAATAAACTATGGAAATATATTTGTATATTGTTATCAAATTTCAGGCATTAAACAGTCTTTATTAAAGAGCAAAATAAATCACTGAAAGCACATGAGAAACGACATCCTACAAACTTAAGAGCAAATGTATATTATAGTTTGCTCAACTGAAGGCTTCATGAGCTGACTTTTAAAACTTATTTTCAAAATTAAATATCTAATAAAGCACTCAGAGCTCCACGAATCAGTAGGACTGGAATGGCCAACTTGGAAATTATGCTAATGGTAGAGCTAGAGTGTCTCTTAGAGGTAGGGAGAGATTACAGGCAGCCCAGTCTCTTTGTAAATGAAAGCAATGTAACATTTTCAATCCATTCAGAAATCCCAATGCTCCATGCCAAAGCTCCATACTCTTACCTTTCTGTCATGGACTTAATGGTATGAAGGAAAGTACTAGAACATCTGTTCCCTCTACTGAGTCCTTTCACTAATTCACCCAAGCAGAAATGGTTTACCTAAAGAGTCCCCTCCACTTTCTTAATGGGAGCCCCAATTATGAATAAGTTAAGACCTTAAGAAAACCAGGAAAGGAGTATAATGACCACCACAAAAGATCACTGGCATTTATCAAAAAGCCAAAATCCATTCTTTTCATTTTTTTTTCTTTCTTTCCTACTCTCTCATACACACACTTCTTTTGAGATTTCTTCACAGAATCACAGTAAATGGCATGAGGGACCAAAATTGTGCCTTCAAGCTTCTCCACTCTTTTTTAGATCCAGTTAAACATATTCATGTCAACTTGGACAGCAGGTGCGCTGTTCTTTACATTATCCAATACCTTGCATCACCATCACTTCCATAAAATAGATCATTTGCCTCCCACCACCTGCCTACCAGCCTCACCAAAACACTTTCTTTTGCTACTTCCCTTTTGTCCAGTTCCTGTCTGCTTCCACTCTTGGATTACTGTATAATAACATGCAATTAACTAGCATAGCTTTTAACTTTTTTCCTTTAAAGTTTTGCTTTCTTTTAAAAATGTTCTGCTTCCCCAGCCAAAATATGTGGACAGAATGCAAATGAAAGGAACAAGTCATCTTGTCCAAATACTTTGAAAAATGGACCACCCTGTGTCCATTTGATGTTCAGTTTCTACATCCTCCAGTTCCATCATCTGTTTTAGAAGCTTACTTACTACAGTGTCTTTCTACCTATTTTCTATCTCATATGCAGGTAACAACAAATTATGGATTGTTCAACCAAAAATATTTTTTAAAAACAAACCAGTACCAAAACATTAAAAAATTCCTGACATACCCTTTGTGCATTAGTCTTACAATCTGTACACTTAAATATCTCCAGGAGGCTTTTTTTTTTTTTGCTAAAAATTTACCAAAATATTCTGAACACATAAAAATATTTAAAAAAAAAACAAACCCAGCATAAATTTAGTTGTATAGGCATTGGTTAGAGGACATTGTTTCCACTAAGGATTATATTCAAAAACTTTCTCTTGGATTTTTACTAAAATTCTGATTCTGAACATTATAGCTTGTAATGATGCTAACTATTAAAAAAGGGTCAATCTAATTCAGCTCAATGTGTTATGTGTTATGATATAATTAAGAGTATGTCTGTGATATAATAATAAACAATAAACATATTTTTTAGTTACTTAAGGGCCATCTTCCTAACCTATAACTAAAATTACTATATTTGATTTAAACTTACTTAAGTGCAGTGAATTATGGAAAGCTAACTTAAAGGCTTGAATAATCAGTTTTGAGTAAGGAACGCTGTTGACAGCCCCATGACTATTCAGAACCAGGCATTTGCTGAAAAAAACAAATCACTAGTATTGAATATAGCCCTTAGTCATATGAGATAGGAACTTTATGAGCAACCCAGCATGTAGAGAATGAGATTTACTTTGCCAGCCACCCACTCCTTGAGAGGACAGTAATATTCATAGTGAAACTGCTCAAACTCGGGCGTCTGGCGGATTTCACATAAGAAGGAGAGATCAATACCTGACTCCAAAAGGAGGAGGAGCAGGGGGAATACAAAGAGCAGCAGCCCCAGGCCCACCACAAGGAGCCGGGAAAAACTCTTGACCAGCGGGTTCACCCGAATATGGCCTCTCAGAATGTCATAGCTCCAGGACCAAGCTCGGTGAGCCTCCTTCAGCTCCTCTGCTTCAGCCATCAAAAAGGCATTTTCATCTGCTTCCAGTTCCTCAAATGAATCTGTGTCTTCTCTTTCCAATTCAAGCCTAGATGGACAATCAAAGAGCATGTCAATCTCATCATCATCAATGGGGGTGGGGAGCAGACTGGCACTTGGGTTGTATGCAAGTTCAGAGATAGTCAGAGGCTCTTCTTTTATTTTATCTTCCTCTTCGCTTGGGGGGTCTTCATACTCCCGGGCTTCCTTTACCGGTGAGCTGGAGATCAAGGGGGCAGAAATGTCATCTTCTTTGGGCAATGGAATACCTGTAAAGAGACATTGTTTTCTTTAATTTTAAATTTCAGGTTTCCTAGTTCCATAAATATCTGTAAATGGAAACAAACCAGAAAAAAAAATGGAATTCAAGGGACATGTAGAATTGTTCTGTGGAATCCTGACTTTTAACAAAGTCATTTCAGTAACAGACCCTGAACCATAAGTTCTAAGGTCAACATGCTAAACCCAAAATAACCAACACACCACAAATGGTTGGCAATATTTACAACATTTACGTGTGCAATTTTGATCTACAAAGCATCAGTTTTGGACATTTGCAAGAATAAAATGACAGTAAGTCACTATTATAATTTTGAAGCTGTGTTTTAGAAGTCAACATGGTCAAAGTACTATAGTAAAATTATAGAATCTAGTATCCAGTGATAATCACTTTCTTATGTATTGTTTCCTAGTATTCATTCTAGGCAAAATTGTGTGGTTTCTAGTTTTCTGTAACTACAAACATGTACAAACTTGCATCTTGCTCCTTTTATTTAACATTTTAACTTGACATTTTCTATGTTGAAATAAACTCCCATTTGTATTTATAATAGTTGCCAAATTTTCTACTTAGTTAATACAATATTAGTTGCCTATTGGCAAACATTTAGATTGCTTTGCAGTTGTAAAAAAAAGAAAATGCTGTAAGAGACATCTTTGCATATAAAGCCTTTTTTCCTCCTCTTGTTTTTCAGTTCATCTGCCATAGATAGATGTCCAAGAGGAAAACTGCTTGGTCAAAAGGAATGAGTATTATTTCCTAAAGTTTATTGGAGGAGGAGCGTGTCTCAGTCCCTCATTTTTTAGACGTGAAATCCACTTATCTACTGTCAGGCCTCAAGCAAGCTCTCCTCATTTTGATTCTTGGGTACTTAGTGGGAAATAAAGTAAGGATCACAGAAGTGTTCCCCAAGGTGGTTCTATAATATAATACCAACCTGGTGACCATGTGCATTAGGTAATTATAAACCAGCCTTTAATGACTACATTTCAGGATTTCATTTTCTTCAAGTGTACAGCAAGTGACATCACCACCAAGATGGCGACATAAGGCATTCCTGACTTTGCTCCCCCTCACAAGAACAACAACTAGACAATTCAAGGACGAGACACCGCTGAGAGAATCCTAGAACACAGGAGGGAGGCTGAAGCACCCCCCTGCACCACACAAACCAGGACAGCCTGCACTGGAAAGGTAAGGTGACCTGCTGCGTGCTGACTGTTTCGCCCCACCCCCAGGCCAGGCCGGCGTAGCGCCACACAGATAGGTCTCCCCTGAGCCTATGGTTCCTCTGGTGGGAAAATACAGTCAAGGGGGGACATCCATTATTTGCAATAGCCAAGATATGGAAACAACCTAAGAGGTCATTGACAGATGAATGAATAAAGAAATTGTGGGATGTATACAAACACACTAGAATACTATTTAGCCATAGAAAATGAGAAAACTCCTGCCATTTGCGACAACATGGATGGACCCTGAAGGCATTATGCTAAGTGAAATAAGTCAGAGAAAAACATACTATATGATCTCATTTATATGTGGATTCTAATTTAAAAACAAACAAACAAACAAACAAAAAAAAAACTCCCACCAAATTCATAGAAAAAGAAATCTGATTTGTTGTTATAAAGGTGTGGGGTGTGGTGAGAGGGCATTAGAGGAAAGGGGTTAAAAGCTACAGACTTTCAGTTATATGATCAACAGTATTAGGACTATGATGTACAACATGACTATAGTTAACACTGCTGAATGATAATATATGAAAGTTGAGTAAATCCTAAGAGTTCTCACCAAAAGAACATTTAAAAAAAATTTTTTTTCTGTTTCTTTTTATTGTATCTAAATGAGATAATGGATGCTAACTAAAAGTATAGCGGTAATCATTTCACAGTATATGTGAAACCATTATGCTGTATACCTTAAACTTATAGTGATGTATGTCAATTACATCTCAGTAAAACTGGGGGAAAAAGATGTGCAGGAGTGAATTACTGACTTTCTCTTTCAAAAATCAATAGATATTTTCTAATAGCTCTGGTATGATAGCACTTGGCAGCCGAGATGAAACACACCATAAACCATGCAAGCGAACAAAGGGCGAACAAGCACATGAAAAGATGCTCAGCATCATTAGTCATTAGGGACATGCACATCAAAACCACAATAAGATGGCACTGCATACCCACTAGGATGGCAATAATTTTTTAAAGAAAATTATTGAAATAGTTTTAAAATTACTGAAATTAACAAGTGTTGGTAAGGATGTGGAGAAATTGCTGATGGGGATTTAAAATAGTTCAGCTACTGTGGAAAACAGTTTGGCAGTTCCTCAAAAAACCAAACATAGAATTACCATATGATACAGAAATTCCACTCCCAGGTATGTACTCCAAAGAACTGAAAACAGAGAATCAAGCAAATAATTGTATGCAAAGCTCAGTGCAGCACTACTTCAATAGTCAAAAGGTGGAAACAACCCAAATGTCCACCAACACATGAATAGATAAAATATGGTATATCCATACCCTGGAATATTATTCAGCCGTAAAAAGCAATGAAGCACTGATATATGTACAGCATGGATGGATCTCAAATATATATGCTAAGTGAAAGAAGCCAGACACAAAAGGTCATATGACATGATTCCATTTGCATGAAATAACCAGACTAGGTAAATCCATCGAGACAGCCGACTGATAGTCGCAAGGGGCTGAGAGAAGAGAGGAATGGGGAGGGACTGCTGAGTGGGTGCAGGTTTCCTCTTGGGGGGTCAATGAAACGTTTTGAAACTAGATAGAGGTACTAGTTGCAAAACATTGTGAACGTACAGAATGCCACTGAAGTTTTCACTTTAAAATAGTTAATTTTACGTTATGTGAACTTCACCTCAATAACAATAAAAAATAAGTGCAAGCCATCAACTTTGTACTACCCTATAATACTCCATGAAACTTAAAGGAAGAAAATATTCGCATAATAGGGAAAGATGACAAAAGTTAGGACTTGTTGGAATGCTCTACATAGCTGGTCTTCCATATCCCCAGAAGGAGGGTCATTGTACTCTCCTCTTTCAGAAAGCAGTGACAGTAACATTGTATCTGACTGGTAGTGCTGCTCTAAAAAGAACTCCCATCCCCTTTGGCTATTTTCTTTGCTCCTGTGGTCACACACATCGTCCATGCTTTTTTTTCTAACAGTATTTTCTCATGGATCCGGCCTTGCAGCCTTAAGTCTCCTTTTCCTGATATTCAACCCTTTCTCCCTTTGTCTCTGCCTTTCATGTGCCTCTCCTATAAAAACAGGGCATAGGAAATCTCCAGTTTCCAGATCGTGGTATTTTGTTGATGGCAACTCCATTCTTCCAGTTGCTCAGACCAAAAACCTTGACTTGCCTCTCTTCACACCCACACTGGACCTGTCAGCACCTTCTCTGTCTCTACCTTCCAAACATCTCCAGAATCAGACTCCTTCTTACCACGTACTCTGCTAGCACCCGGGTCCAAACCGCCATCCTGATTCACTGAGATTATTGCAACAGCATCGCATCCGCTCTCCCTGCTTCAGCTCTTGCCTGTGTAAGGGCTTCTGTCAGTTCAGCAGCTACAGTGATCCTTTGAAACATAAGGCAGATCATGCCACTTATCTGCTCAACATTCTCTAATGGCCTTTCATCTTACTCAAGAGTTCAACCCGAGTCCTTGCAGGGATGCCTAGGGCGCTACTCAGTGTGCCCTCACCTCCCCTCCTCAGCTCTCTGACTCTGAGCTTGTGACTCACTGGTTCACTCCACTCCAGCCCCACAGATGCCCTGCTGTTCCTGAAACATCCCAGTCATGCCCCTACTAAAGGCCTTTGCACTTGCTGTTCCCTCTGCTTGGAGCTCACTCCCTCTTTGCAGGTCTTTAAACAAATGTCACCTTCTCAGTGAGGCCTTCCTAGCCATATCGTGTAACATTTCATCCCCTATCCCCAGCACTCCTTATTCCCTTTCCCTCATTTTTCTTCTAATTCCAGGATATAAGGAGGGAAAGTGCAGCACTAGCAAACACCAGAGATAGTAGCTTTTAGGGAAGACATAACCACAGTAACTAATTCTGGGTCAGAAATGCCAGTGTCTCCGTAGGCCAGGCAGGCGCCTAAAGAGAGTGAGCGTGGCCAGGATGGAACAATAGGGACTGATGGGGACTGGGGAAATGAACCATGTTGAGCTCCATCTGAAAGCTTTCAAATTCAAACTTTTAGGAACATCTGTGCAATCCATACAAAATGTGCCTGTGGGTCTTTGTAGGCATACAGGCTGCTAGTCTCTAAACGCTGCTGTAATAAGATCAGCTAGGTTCCTGATGTTTCAAGTCACTCAAGGGTTTCGGTACGTTGATCTCAATAATAGAAGTAATCACTTCTCTGAAAAGGAAGAGGAAGGCAAGGAAAGAAATCCTTTCTTTTCCTTTCATCGTTTTTCTAACCACTAGTGTTAGTTGTGCTGGAGTTGCACGTCACTTTCCCCTCATCCCAATGCTCAACGTGTAAAGCAGCTGGAGTAGCGTGGAAAGGAGGCCAGACACAGGCTGCACAACCCCCGGGTTAAATCCCAGCTCTCTACTCATATGAAGACACTTTAGTTATTAAGGAACTTTTAGTTCAAGTTACTTACTATTCTTGGAGCTCAGTTTGCTTAACTACAACACAAGAATAATGCCTACCTCATAAGGCTGCGGTGAGGGTTCAGTGAAACTATGGGTGCCTGAGTGCTGTCTACAGCAAAACTATGGAAATGAGCTATTACTAATGTACCAAAGAACATTAAGTTACATTTGATCTATTATCAAGCAATATCATTTTATCCAATCCATATAAAACGAGTCCACTATTACAGAGTACAAGGAATTGGTTATCCATATTCTCTTAATTTTCTTTATATGATAGATGCTTAAAGTTTCCTCCACACCTTTTCTGGCAAATTCTAACAAGACTATCCAAGGAGAC